ACTAATCAACAAATGGAAGGGATTCAAACTAAAAAGCTTCTTCTCAGCAAAGTAAACAACCAATAAAGTGAATAGAGATCCTACAGAATGGGAGAAAATCTTTACCGCATGCACATCAGATACGGCATTAATCTCCAGGATATATAAAGAACTCAAAAAACTTAACACAAAAAAAATCTAATCAATAAATTGGCTAAGAAACTGAACAGATACTTCACAGAAGAATAAATACAATCAATAAATAAATATATGAAAAAATGATCAACATCTTCAGCAATTAGAGAAATGCAAATCAAAATTACTATAAGATTTCATCTCACTCCAGTTAGAATGACAATCATCAAGAATACAAGTAACAGTAAATGTTGTGGAGGATATGGGGGAAAGGTTCACTCATACATTGCTGGTGAGACTGCAAATTGGTGCAACCATTATGGGAAAGCAGTATGGAGATTCCTCAGAAACTGTGGAATGGAACCACCATTTGACCCAGTTATCCTACTCCTCAAGTATATACCCCAAGGACTTAAAGTCAGCACTACAGTGATGCTGCCACATTAATATTTATAGCAGGTCAATTCACAATAGCTAAACTATGGAACCAGCCTAAGTGCCCTTAAATAGATGAATGAATAAAGAAAATGTGATATGTATACATAATGGAATATAAATGAACCTTAAAGAAGAATGAAATTATTGTATTTGCCAGTAAATGGATGAAGATGGAGAATATCATGCTAAGCAAAATAAGCCAGTCTCAAAAAACTAAAGGCTGAATGTTTTCTCTGATATGCTAATGTTAATTCACAATAATGGAGGGGGGCTAGGAAAAAATAGAGGTACTTTGGGTTAGGTAGAGGGGAGTGAAGGAAGACAAAGGGGTATGGGGGTCATAAGGATAGTAGAATAACTTGGACATTATTACCCTATGTATATATATGATTATATGACCAGTGTGATTCAACATCATGTACAACCAGAAGAATGAGAAGTTATATTCCATTTATGTATCATGCATCAAAATGCATTCTACTGTCATGTATAACCAATTAGAACAAATTTTTAAAAGTCTTTTTTTAAAGTGTGTCAATAGATGTTATAGCATATATAAGGCCAATGTCTTATTTGATTGAAAGATACATATGTTGTAACAGTCACTTACCTATTTGAAAACATAATTAAAATATTAATAGAACCTTAAGAACTTTTCTTTTTACTTTCACTATCTTAAGAAGCTAATTTCATACAATTCTGATCAAAACTTGAAATTGAAACTTCTGCTAGGCAGTAATTGTAAGTATCTGAATGTAACACAACTTATTTTGCTTGGTATTTTATTTTGCTTGAAATTATATGATAATATATGCATACTACTCCCAGATGATTTTTCCCTAGCTATCCTAATTAGTGATGTTTTACCATATGACTCTTCTCCTTTGTTAAAACCATGAGAAACTTTGGCATTTAGGTATGAAGTAACATTTGGGACATTGCCCAGGCTTTACAAAAAAAATAAATAATAAATAAATTACTTAAAGCACATATTATACAAGCCTTTTACAAAGAACACTCCATCTCACTAAAGAGACAGAGGAAAAATTGGACTGATTTTCTTTGTAAACTCCTTGAGTGTTTTGCTGAACATCTTGATAGTAAGCAGGTTTATGAAAGATCCTTTATAGCCTATTCATCCATTTCTATTATGCTATACTCTATAAATATTAATGTTCACAGAAGAAAAAGAATCCATTTATAGCAAGAACATTACTATCTAAACTTTGAGGATTAAATATGTTGATAAAAAACTAATTATACAATAAAACATTTCCTCAATTAAAACTTACAAAATTTTAAATGACAGTTTTTTTAATTTTAAATGATTTTTACATAAGTATAAAAGAACAGGATCGGCTGAAGTCATACTGAGTTAGTTAGAATTGCTGTTTGGGGACAAATTGGCATGAGTTTATAAGATTATGGTCATTTTATTGAGTTTAACTGAAGGCAATCAACAACATCATGGCAAAACTGTGACTCTGAATATTGATGTATTATTTAGAAACTCTGCTTTTTTAAAAAGGATAATTAAAGAAAATTAAGATGATATGCTACTTAGTCAATCCATCAGTAAAAAGTAGATAAATATATTTAAAAACTAGCTTGAAGCAACAGGGGAAAATTAGTATATTTACCTTTACCTAAGGAAGCAATATAGTTTCTCATAAGTATTTTTTCCTATTTTGTTATGAATGTATTTGTGTATAGATGTGTGTATAACAAAAATATTAATTTTCTTCACCTTAAATTTCCTTATCATAAAATATATTAACTTTATATCATAGTATTTAAACACTATTAATGTGATGTCTTTGTATTTAAGCCATAGGAACTCAATGAGATGAGTAAACACTGCATGAGGACTTCTTGGCTTTCTCTGAGGAAAGTATTAATATATTTTTTCAATAGTACTGAGCTGTATCATGTTTGGTGGACGTATGAGCTTGACACTCCTTATTTGGAGATTGAGTATGGTGGAACAAGAGGTTATTTGGGCACCAAGTTGACAAGGGGTGAATCTGTGATGAATACCTTTAAGTGACAACTTGGCTACCTGATTATGTGGCCAAACTTTATTTCTGTAAAGATATTTTTAGATGAGATTAACATTTAAATCAGTAGACACTGAGTTAAAGTGATTACCACCCAGTAATATGGGTGGGATCCATGTAATCAGCTGAAGGTCTAAACATTAGTTCTGTTTCTCTGAACCCTGACAAATACAACCCAACCCGGCCCCCAGTTAAGAGTTTGAGCTCTTGAGTCCAGATTGCCTGGGTACTGATCCTGAGTCTTCTAGAAAGTAGTTGGAAGATCTGGGAAAATTAATTGACTTCTTAACTTTATTGAGCCTCAGTCTCCTCCTTTATAAAAAAGGGATAATAAATGTTTAACCTTTACTTCACAGGATTGTTTTGAGGACTAATTTTTATACATGAAAAGTGTTTTATAAAGCAGGATCAAAGTGTTACACATTGTTGCAAGCATTCAACAAATATTAACTATTATCTCCAAATTCCTTCTCAGATAGCTACAAAACTTGCAGTTAGTTCTAGAAAACAAGAATGAGATGGATAAATAGAATTTTTTAAAAACACTTAAAAAGTTATTTAGAATTCGATTTTTGTAAGAAATATTCAAAATGAAGGCAAACTACCACAAATTTTCAAATTTTCATTTCTCAAATGCAACACTAGTAATTAGCATTTAAAAATAACTGAAGTAAAAGCATTCCTTACTGATTACCATATCTATGTTCTTAAATAGATGCCTATCAATGTAATATCTGAAACATCATATCATACAATGATATTAGTATATTATAATCTTAGCACTGTTTTAAATGTGATTTCTAATTGTTACTAGTTCTTAACATGCTGCCTCTACTTTTATATTCCATACTTGACTTCTATATATTTCTTCTCATTTTTCTCATCCTTCCTGCTCACTACCCACATATATTCTTGCCCTATGATTTAATCCCTTTGCCTGAAATTCTCTGCCAGATAAACAGTATTTGTATTTTTTGTTTATTGTGTTTTGGTTTTTACCAAAAGAAAGCCAAACTTTTTTATTTATATCCTTTTGGCTTGGAGAAGAAATTTATAATGTTGACATAAAAGATGAAAACTATGAAGGAAAAAAATTATAGAAATTGCTATTTAAAAATGAAATGCTATTTAAAAATGATATATATTGAAAGTCTAATATATATATATACATATCAATGCAGAAAGAACATTTCCTACAAAAGATCAAGTATTTAAAAGAGGTAATAATACTTATTATTGTTTTGTAATATTTTATATTACACATTCATACAAACTATCCCATTTTTAATTTCCTAATAATCCTTTAAAGAATCCTTTAAAGAAACAGGGTTTATCACTGTTGGCAGTAATGGTATTTGGGGCCAAATAATACTTTATTTTGGACAGCCACTGTGTTGAGCAGTGACCCTAGAGTCTATACAGTAGAAGCCAGTAGCCTCCCTATACAAACCTAATTATGACAATCAGAAATGACCCAGATACTGCCCAATGTCCCCTGAGGAACAGAATCATCACTAATTGAGGTTTGTAAATTGACAGAAAGCAATAGTATTTTCTTTTTTACAAATTAGTAGGTGATACTCAGAGAAATTAAATGAGTTGTCCAAATACACCTTTTCTCTTAATGACTTACAAACATGACATTTATGGGATGACTTGAATCATGAATCACTTGACATGAATGTCTTGGTAAAATACTCATCACACCTAATAAGCCACAACTGTGACTTTTATATGCCAAGTAATTCATACCACAGACGTTTCTGAACTCACTTTCCTCTCAGCTGATTCTATCATTATTTCAGGCTTCTTTTTTCCCACAAAAGGAAATTAGGCTATTATAAACTTCAAGTTAGAAATAAGCATTATGAAAATTGGCCTAGGCATAAAACCTATTCACATAGTGCATGTTTTGGATTTTTTTCAAAGCAGTTTCCATCTCCTCTTGTACAAAATTTATGAAAGGGACTATCACTTTTATCAATTGGACAGCTAACATGCCATCCAATCTTCGTGATCTACCTCTATCATAATATGTAGGACACTGGAAACATTTCCTTTCATGGAAGTATCATAGTAGGAAAGTTAGTCATGTGCTGAGAATTAAGGGTAGAGTTGACACTTCCGTTTACTTGACCAAAAGTACCTTAACAATCTTGAGTTACTACTGAAAAAAATGTGGAGTTGCCATATTAGTATTCTAAACACACACTTTATATAATTAGTTAACCACTGTATCTAAACAGATTTCAACTCTTTTCAAACTGTTTTGTTCTCAACAAAAGAAAGAAAACTGGAATTGCCCCATGTAATACACTGCCATCTGTGTGCAGGCTGATAAGACCAAAGGGGAATGTGTGAATTTCATAGGATCAGGGCTGTGAACCTTACCTTCCATGACATACACCAGTGACCCCACGTCTCCTTCTTTGATGATGCAACTGTCTTTGCCATATTCCACTGGGTACATACAATCCACAATCTCCTGGATCTGCGACAGCTCCAAGTTCTTCATGAAGTCATTATCGAGGATGGCTTCCTTTATAAGATCCTTGGACCTGCAGCAAGAGGGGGGAGAGTTACTGACATCTGACCAACTCTTTCCTAGTTTGTATGGCTTAGCAGAGCCATGCAATGCTCTGGCACACTACAAATGCATTTTCTTGTGAGGAATCCAATACTTTCCTGGAAAACCTAAGAACAAAGTCGTTCCATGGCAGTAGAAAAGCCGAAGAAATTTTCCTTTAAGCAAATTACCATTTAATGAATAAGTGACAAATAAAAAACAAATAAAAACAATTTGATTTGATTTGACAATTTTTTAACAACAAAGATTATGGGAAAACTAATGAGCAAACATTTTAAACTGAGGTTTGTAATTTTGTTTAAGAATAAATACAAATAAAATACAAAAATGATAGAACAATTTTTGCTATGTTTATATATTATAAAAAAACATCAGACATGCATTTTACTATGTGAAATAATATAAAATGTGATTTGTTTACTTATTTTCTGCATGCCTCTTCTATTAGACTTTAGGTTCTACATAAGAAGGGATGGTTTTTAATTTGTTCCCTAATATGTGCCCAATTTCTACTACAATGCCAGTCATGGTATGGGAGCTCCAGACATATTTTATATAAAAAATTGGTTAAGAATTTGATTCCTTATTGTTGTTTGTCTTCATAATAGCTGCCATTCTGACTGGAGTGAGATGGTATCTTAGAGTAGTTTTGATTTGCATTTCTCAAATTGCTAGAGATGTCGAACATTTTTTCATATATTTGTTGATTGATTGTATATCCTCTTCTAAGAAGTGTCTGTTCATGTTCTTGGCCCATTTATTGACTGAGTTATTTGTTTTTTGGTACTTGGCTTTTTCAGTTCTTTATATACCTAGATATTAGTGCTCTATCTGATGTATGAGGGGTAAAAATTTGCTCCCAACATGTAGGCTCTCTATTCACCTCACAGATTGTTTCTTTTGCTGAGAAGAAATTTTAAGTTTGAGTCCATCCCATTTATTGATTCTTGGTTTTAATTCTTGTGCTATAGGAGTCTTATTAAGGAAATTGGGGCCTAATCCCACATGATGAAGATTAGGGCCTACTTTTTCTTCAATTAGAGAGTCTCTGATTTAATTCCTAGTGTCGGCGAGGATGTGGGACTACAAATTGGTGCAGCCAATATGGTAAGCAGTATGGAGATTCCTTGGAAAACTCATAATGGAACCACCATTTGACCCAGCTATCCCTCTCCTTGGTCTATACCCAAAGGACTTAAAATCAGCATACAGGGACACAGCCACATCAAAGTTTATAGCGGCACAATTCACAATAGCTAAACTGTGGAACCAACCTAGATGCCCTAGATTAAAAAAATGTGGCATATATACACAATGGAATATTACTCAGCAATAAAAGAGAATAAAATCATGGTATTTGTAGGTAAATGTATGGCTTTGGAGAAGATAATGTCAAGCGAAGTTAGCCAATCCCCAAAAAACAAATGGCAAATGTTTTTTCTGATATAAGGTGACTGACTCATAGTGGGGTAGGGAGAGGGAGCAGGGGAGGAATAGATGAACTCTAGATAGGGCAGAGGGGTGAGAGGGGAAGAGAGGGTGCAGGGGGTTAGCAATGATGGTGGAATGTGATGGACATCATTATTCAAAGTACATGTATGAATTGGTGTAAACATACATTATATACAAACAAAGATATGAAAAACTGAAAAGAAGAATTTGATTCCTAATTATCTGGTTGAAATAACTGTAGAAATGTAAAGTTCATGCTTTTTTTAATTATTATTTTTTTAATTTTGGACACTGGGAATTGAACCCAGGCACACTTAACCACCGAGGCACATGATCCATATCCCCAGGCCTTTTTTCATTTTTTTAAAATCTGAGAATGGGTCTCACTAAGTTGCTTAGGGCCTCACTAAGTTGCTGAGGCTGGCCTTGAACTTGGTATCCTCCTGCCTCAGTCTTCTGAGTCACGGAGATTATAGGTATCCATTACCGCACCTGGCTCTTCATACTTCTTTAGAGAATATTTATTTCTCCAAACAAACATCTTAATTTGAGGTAACCAGGCAGATAAAACTCTGTAGAACAAGATGTTTGAAATAAAATGTTTTAGATCTGGAACTAAACACAAGTAGTGAGTAGGAAAGATATGTACAAATTCTATAATTTAACAGAATGTTAACCTAAAACATGGTAGTAATTTTATTCACTGGGATAATAAAAATTCTAAACCACTTCCTAAAGATAACAAAACGCAAGGGGGAAGGGGCATTAAGAAACATGCTGTCAGGAGGAGCACAATCAGAGCACCAACCAGAGTGGGAAAGTGAATAACACAAAAGCCAAGAGCTTAGCATACAGAGAGAAAGCAATACATTTGGAATTTTATATTGAAAACCTTAATTAAAAAAAAAAATGGAACACAAGCTGGCCTTTGTTCACATTGACTCAGCAAGTGGCTTCCAGGGAAGTGAACTATAGTATGAGGACTTACTAGAGCATCAGCTGCTCCTGAACAGCTTCTCATCTAGACCTCCGTCTGATGGGCCTAGCCCTCATACACTGTGAGGTATCATCATTTGGTTTCAAATAACAAAAAGATGTACATAAAAATTGGGAATAATTGAATCATTTGGGGTTGAGGCTCAGTGGTAGAGTGCTCACCTGCCACGTGTGAGGCACTGGATTCAGTTCTCAGCACCACATAAAAAGATAAATAAATAAAGGTATTGGGTCCATTTACAACTAAAAAATATTTTTAAAAAGCAATTAAAACTTCACTGGTGTGACGAATACCACTGACATTGTCAGTTTTGCTGCAATTAAAATTATGTTTATGAAGAGTATGAATGGCACAGGGGACATCATAATATTTTTAAGGGAAAAAAAGGATAGAAATTTGGGGGGGGGGTAAGATAAATATGTATGTAATAAAATGTAAAACAAAAAAAAATAGGCTTTCAAGTTAAACCCTAAACCCGTCACCTAAAAAACTTGCCTTACTTTTCTCCATTTCCATTTTATTATCTGTAAATGGTATTTTAAGAATTACCAAACTAGCAGGTTTATAAGTGATAACTAGTAATGATATAATGTTATTTCAGTGAGTTGCAGGTGATAAGGATGGTAATAGTGTTGACTGCAGTAACAACAGGAGGGTGTTAATAGAGTACACAGTTATGACTTGAAACAAAATCAAAGGAAAGTGATCCAAATTTTGACTGTAGTTGTCTTTGGTGATAGAATTACATTTTTTCTTTCTTCTATATAATTTTTTAGAATGGGCAGGCATTTTTATATTAAAACATCTTAGATTTTAAATGTAACTTATAGAAAGGGACTATGCCATACTGAAAAATAATCTTTCGCTCATTGAATTAATGACTAGATATTTAAAACTGGTGACTCAGTATTACTCTTCAGTAGACTCCCTGTCATGGCTTATGTTTAAATACTCATGGCAGGACTTTTCACTTCAATAAAAGATAGTGATGAATGGCAAGTCATTAAGAACTTCAGGATGTTCTCCATCTAAAAATGTCCCGGTTATGAGACGTCAACTTCAGCTCAACAGAGTTCTTTAGCTGCATAATTCCTGCTGTTTTTTTTTTTTTTTTAATTCCCTCTTACCTAAACTTTGTCATTTTGTCTTAACGTGAAAAGTGACTTCTCTTCTCAGGCTGCAAAGCAGGATACAAAACTTGTCTCTATCCACAATTTTCATGAGGTCCCCTCCTTAATCTTCATCACTGACCTCAATAACACCAGTGGAACCTTTATACCAACTCCCAAGATCTATTGTTCTATGATTATCTTTCCAAATGCCAGGGGGTTTGATCTTTAAGAAATTCGTTTTAGTCAAATCATATTATAGGCTCTCTTTGGTAAACATTTCTCTTATTTGGGTCAGAGGATGAGGTCCTCCAATGGGTTCATAGTTTCTAATATAATAAAGACTAGATCTTAACCCAGAAACCCAGTGTATTTATGACAGATGGTATCGTATCCTTTGGGAAATATTAACCATATTTCATTAAATATCTAAGTTCTAGAAGTATGACAAGATTAGAAATAAAGCTCTCTCCCAAGAAAATAATTAGCTCCATCCAAAGATGATTGAAGGAACTCTCTCTGCCTACATAAATAGTAATATTAACCTATATTATGAAGATATCAGAAAAGATGAGACAATGAGCTCTAACAGAATCCCTTAGAATTATCCAAATTTTCCAAGTGTTTATCACAGAACACCTGTGGATTTCTGGATGCTCTTGCTTCTCAAATTCCATCCTGTCCATCCACAAGAATGAGGTCCTAATTAGAAAAAAGATATATTCTATACTTGTATAATTTTATCAGAAGAGATTCTACTGTCATTTATAACTATGAAGAATCAATTAAAAAAAAAGAAGGAATGGCCCTTTGTTGTACCGTGGTCATTTCAAATATCATAGCCAGTTAAAGACTGTTTCTCAATTTCAGGTATTTACTCTATTATCATTTATTGAGCACGGAAGAGGGAAATGCAGAAATAAATTTACTATTGCTTAAAAAATTTAGATGGATAACATTTAATCTTCTCAGGTCTCTGAAGAAGCCAAGTAGAGGCTTTCATGTATGTATTGAAATCACGTTAAAATAAACTGCCTGGGTTGGAGGTGGTGGAGAGCTTGCCTAGTATAGGAGAGATTCAGGGTTCATCCCCAACATCACAAAAATCAAAGTGAAAAAAATCAAAATAGGACCTATGACTTATCATTTATCCCTTCATTCAAGTATTGTTCAATAACACTTTTTGTCTTTGAAACATCACAGATAACCTGTCTCTGCCCTCACAGCAAGATAAAAATCTTGCATTTCTATGAAACTCAACTGAAAGACATTCTTGGCAGTAACACTCAAAAGCCCGGCCTCTTCATTCATTTTTCCTTTAAATCCTTTCCCATGGAGAACTGGGAACCTTAGGTCAACCCTCATTAGTCTCTACTTGCTCCAACATTGTAGACTAAAATTAATCAGGGCCTC